TAGTTTTACTAAGCTGTTGCTGCTCTTGTTCCTGTAATCGCTGTTCTAATGCACTTAATCTAAATTCTAAGTTTTTATTTTGGTTAAATAATTCGATGTTCTTCTTTTTCATTTCTTTGACTGTAGTTTTAAACGCTTCAAGTTTTCTAGAATTGATTTCCAAAGACTCCGCAAACTGGCCCAATTGACGTTGAATAGCATTCTCCACTTTTGTTGTTATTTCTAGCATCAGTTTTTTACCATCTAATGGAACAGAGGCAGAGGTTATAGGCGATTCAAAAGCTTCATCATCGTCTTCATCATCCGGTAATACAATCGAAGTTCGTCTAGATGAGGAGTTTTTGCAATCAGAACATGACCAATCTAGGTTTTCATTTGCACGAAGCGCATTTCTTTGTTTGGTAGTAAGCCCTGAGCATTCAGTGTTCAAATGCACCATCTTCTCACAACGATGACACTCCACTCCAGGACGAGTTTTTGTAATATTTTTGTTGCATTTTCACACTTTGACATAATGCTGTTTCACATATATATTTTGTATTACTCATTGAAGAAGCATCAAAACTTAATTAATTAATTTAATTACCCAACTAAAGAAGAATATTATTGAGGAGAGTCTGTTACCTAGTATTACAATAATATAAGTTAAATATATTCAATTATTTTATTTGTTAACTAAATGATGGTCGCGACTTCGTCCACGTGGATTAAGGTTTCTTAATTCCCGTGGGATTTTTTAAATTTTCTGGGATTAAATATAGGTTGTGTTAATTCAGAGTAACTTTAACCTATGTGTGCGTAAAATGTAACAATGTTGGGGATTTAGATTTGTGTGTGCCATAATGACACAAATTTTATTGTGCAGGTGTGCAGTACTGTCTATGTAGTGTTTCCTCGCCCCGCACCAAAAGTAAAAGACTTTTTTGTTCATAGCATTAGGCGCATTACTCGTCCTTTAGTTGAACGGTCTAAGGTGGTCTGTGTTGCTCTATGTGCTAACAGGCTATAAGCACAGAATAAATAAAAGTAGGGACAGACTAGTCCTACGTACGCAACGTATGCAATGCAACGCTCCTTCGTTAGTGTACACACTTGACCTACATATGCAACGTACGTTTGGCGTAAGACACTCTTGTTACTTCTTAGCGGACGCACAAGTACAAATTTATACCATTTTTTCTGATTTTGAAAGTGAGTTTGAGAATGACTTACTTAGTCTGATATCCATAAACTAATATATCCACACAACAAAGAAAAACTTTATGTAGAAATTCTGTTAAAATTTATGATTTATAATGCAAACAAATACACGAATATATAGAATACAATGTGCTATTTCCGTAATATATAAAATCATGTTTCGTATCTTAACATAACTAGGATAAAAGTACAAAAAACTACTATTTTTTAATTTCTCACCTCAACCTCTCCCTTTCACGTTAAATAACCAAAATGTTAGCAGTAGGTGCAATGCAACCTGTTGGTACCTATGGTACCAATAGGTTTACCATGTAGTTTTGTTATCTCTTCCCATTCGTCTAACGTAAATTAGAACCACGATCTTCTACATATTGAATATTATAAATAAATTCGAATCCCCTTACTAAATCGATGAGCTGTTGTGGCCTATTTTGACAACAAACATTTTCGACGTGGTAGAGCCACGCTGCAGCTATAAATTATGGTTGTAGCACGAATGGGTCGGTTCGACCGGGGCAGGATCACGCTTTCACAGAATAACAACGTAAAATAGCAGCTTGATGCTTTGGTGTTTCGTATGGTGAGTGTAGAGAACCGGAGACCCTTTTTATTGAAACGAGGCATTCCATCTTAGTGCTCAGCCGTGAAAACGCATCTGCATTTTGATTCTTAATCGAGGATAAATGTAGATGTCTATGGGTCACGGCATCCACTTACCACCAGGTAGACTGTGTGCTTGTTTGTCACCCTTATTCTATAAAAAAAACGCGTGCACGGTGCAAACGTCTATTTGTTCAAGACGTATTCTGATGCTTACGTTCTAGCAACACACTGGTCATACGCGTGGTATTGCGTAGGACCATTTCCTCCACCTTCCCACGTCGAACCGACTTTGCGTCGTACACGTTTGATTGCGTTGTATTCGATAAGTGTATTTATAATGCATAGTTTTTCATACAAAATCAAGCGTTCAGATGTCATAATGTGTTGCATACGTTGTCTACGTGGGACCAGTCTACATATCTCTGCCTTAATAGTACTACTTCGTACAGAAGTTGCACTCCTTTGATGTTCACTACATGCCGACGTTTTAATAGCCTACATAATTATTATTAATCAGAGCTAGATTAAGCTAAATTAAACCTTATCGCTGCGCGTGAGTGTCCGTATGGCTTTGCATCTTTTCCCCTTCCTACGTCATGGACGATATTTCGTGGTTACCAAGGGCTTTAAACAAAGAGTAAAAAATAAACTACGTTTAAGTTACCTACAAGACATTAAGTTAAAGTGAAATCGGTATTTTCAACTGTTTTACTTTAATTTAATTTCTAATATTTTTTTACCGTCTTTAAAATAACGGTTTTTTAATTTAAGAATGGTAAAACTCTAAATCTAACGTATAATTTTAAGTAAATCTGGGGGGGGGGGACATTGGCACGGAGCACAGCCTTAATAATAGAGTATTATGTCTGTGTTATGGAGTGATAAAATTGATGTTCGTTAATTTTATCTTCTAACTAAATATGTATACTAAACAATAACCAAAAATATATATAAAAGTATTTACAAATAATCGATTTATATAAACAGCGTTAAAAACTTTGACATTCACTAGTACGTCAATCGCCTAAGCCGCGCTAGCCTTTATTTCTTATGCAACCTGAGGTTCTGCGCGTTTCTAGGTCTTTATTTCTAGCAGGTAGCAAGAGTGACAGAGGTTTGTTCACAAATTAATAAGAAATGCTAGGGTTTGCTATAAGGCATTCCATTTTAGTCATTTATTGTAATAACGCAGTCTACCTTGTTTGTAGGCTCTTACCCTACATTCTTGTTTGCCTTCTTTTTTCTTGTGGTATAACTTGCTGTCAAAATCTGCCAGAAGCATCAAAATGTGTAGTAACTAGTGGTTCGATGATATAATTCAGATTTTAGACGCTTATGGGCCTTTATATATTACTATCATCAAATGCCTGCTAGATTAAGCTGTCGTGGACATAAAGCAATACGGGCCGCCGACGTACCAGACGCGGATATCTCCTAAGGACTTCGCAATGTAAGGCATCAGCATATTGTAGAGTTATGAACAAATTACACACATAAGTTTAGGCTGTATGATTTAAGACCTTTGCCTATCTTAATTGGCTAATCGTAACAAGAACTCTCTGACTAGTATACAGCATACTATACTCTTAAATTATTTCTGACACGTACAGAAACCACAACAAAAAAATATTTTTCGTTTATGTTGTGATTGTGAACTTGGGGCAAATAAGTGAAATAAATCTGTGGTTGCAAACATTCGTGTAGAGCATACTAGTTAGTCTGTGGTTGCAAACGTAACTGAAGCAGTGTTGCCAACCGTATGATTTAAATCGTATTCATACGATCTTTTTAGCCCTAGTACGATGTACGATCATGTATTCGAAATCGTACCCAAAATATACGATCTTTTCAAATCTTCTAATCTTTATCATCATCATCATCATTACAGCCCTTCAAAAGTCCACTGCTGAACATAGGCCTCCCCCAAAGAATGCCACAAAGCACGGTCCTGAGCCACCTGCATCCATCGACTTCCTGCATGTCTTACCAGGTCGTCACTCCATCTCGTGGGGGGACGCCCTACACTTCGCCTACCGGTACGAGGCTGCCACTCGAGAACCTTTCTTCCCCATCGGTTGTCGGTTCTTCGAGCTATATGGCCGGCCCACTGCCACTTCAGCTTACTAATCTGTTGGGCTATGTCGGTCACTCTGGTTCTACTGCGGATATCCTCATTCCTAAGTTTATCACGCAGAGAATTATAACAATCTTTTAACTTTTAACTTTTAACAACTAATCTTTATAACAAAATAAAAATGATAATTGATTAAGTTCATTTTATCGATATGAAAAATCAATAATTTCAAAATTGTAAAAGCTCTAAACTTCTTCTTTGTAATTTTTCATGAACGCATCCAATCCCATAATTTTTTAAACTCTCTATTCCTCGCGCAGTTTAAGGAAGAAGCTACAGGGTAGCCCGCGAAATTAAAATTTTCTTACGTTTTTGCAATTTGCAGGTCAGTGTATGTTTAACAATATAAGATTCGCGGTCGTAGCGAGTAATGCGTTTACAGAATTATAATCATTATAATCGTCAATACAACCCTCTAAGTTCGTATAATCCCATTGTATGGCTATTTCCAGAAAAACTCAGTCAAAGGGATTTTTCACCTTAACCGCCGGAAGCTTTCACCTTAACCGCCTTTCTTCGAGTTTGTTTTAGGTCATTCTATTCGTTTTAATCAAAATAATATTAAACTACCTTCGCAAATAATCATATATTACATATTTTTGTAAAAGATGGCAGAGTGAACACAGTCCGAGCCCATTTTTTTTTTAATAAAAAAAAGTAGTAAAGTTTAGTGTCAGATTCTTAATTGTTATATGGTTATATGTACTCTAAATGTAAAGTTTTGCTTTGACGTTATAATAATATTATTTTGTATTATTTTACCATTATTTTATTGAAATATTGATGCGTACTATCTTTTTTGTTGAGTTCTTAGCAAAATACGATCTTTTTCAGTTAATGGCACGATCTCCTAAAAAATAAAGTTGGCAACCCTGAACTGAAGATGAAGTAGCTTGCTACATATATATTTATCTATGAGATGAAGTCACAGACCAGATAGAGAAACTAACGTTTATGAAGTAAATACGAGAATATGACAGTATTTACTCACTAATTTATAAATATTTTATTTCAAAGTTAATTATTCTTACTAAGATACAAAAGTTCATTAACTTATAAAACGATGGCTGGGGAAGTAATTGTGGATGCTTTACCATATATTGATCAAGGCTATGATGACCCAGGTGTTAGAGAAGCGGTAAGCATAAAATTTATTTTATAGATTTACAAGTGTCATACTGAAAACTGCATCATAACAAGGCATTGCTTAATCGAGATAGCCCGACATATTTGTAATCTGAAGTGGCAATGGCCATAAAGCATAAAGAACCGACAATAGATGGGTAAGCAAGATTCTCGAGTGGCAGCATCGAACTGACAGGTGGTGTGTAGGACGGCCCCCACTAGATGGAGGGACGACCTGGTAAGACAAGCAGGAAATCGATGGGTGCAGGTGGCATAGGGCCGTGCTTTGCTGCATTATTTCGGAGAGGGGTATATTCAACAGATGGCTTGTGAAGGGCTATAATGATGATGATGATTGTGTTCCAGTGTCTTTTTTACTTTGCAAACAAATGTAGAAAAGTAACGCCTCAGCCACACACATTGTGATAGAATTATCGCAATAAAACTTCACCTTCACCCTACTGCGAAGGTGCCTGCCCACACTGCGCTTTGTAAAGTTTATCACACTAAACACGCTAAGTACAAAATGGACGCCTTGGTCGCTCTGCATTATATGACAGCGAATAATTATTTTTATTATTGTGTCAGTTTTTAAAAAATAAGAAAAAAAAATAATATCGGCTCAAACTCGTAATTACTGATAAATTCAAAATTATTTTCATTACACTATGTTAGAAATATGCACAAACCCAAATTTAAATTTATTTTAACACATCTGCTACACACGATGTCTGTGGGCAGACTGAAGTGTGTAAAACCTTTGAAGTGTGAGAATTTACCAACAGCAAAGCGATGTGCTTGAAACTTCTCACAAAGTATTTACAAAGGGATGGCCATATACATTGCAATATTCATGCTAGCGGGGTGTGTGCCATTATAAATTGTTATTTCATAATGTTACATAATAGTAAGGTATTTGTTTAATAGGCTATTTTGGTGTAAACCTAATATTTTTATGGAGTTCCAAAATTGAAAACCTAATATAATTGTAAATTTTAACATGGTATGTTACTAATAGGTATACAAATTAATTATGCACATATTTTATATAGCTCTGAGTGTCACCTATGAATTTATGTTTTAATAATGCTTATCCACTCAAATGTCCTGATGACGCGGCGACAAAAGCCTTGCACGTCCCGGTTCCGCTCGTCGTGGTTTTTATACGGTCCGATTGCGACCAGTTCGACTAAAACCGTTACCATGGAGAAAGTTCTTTACCTATATCAGAATAAAAATCACCCACAGAAAGTTAATGAAAAGCGGAATTTAATTTCGTTAGTAATATTATTTTATTAAAATAAATAATATATAATACAACAACTTAACAAAGAACCGACACACAAATGCAAAGATCTTGCATGTCAACTTCATCACATATAAAAACATCATTACACATATAAGAACATGGAGGCCGCTCTAGTCGCTGTAATGTTCAACCTGAAAATGTTTTAGGTGACTATGGTCGACCGGACGTTTGAGTGGTTATATCACTGAAAAAGCTATGGTAGATGACCTATGTCATTCTAAATACCGAATTCTTTATATTGAACTAGCTTTCCTGTCTTATAATTATTAGATATTTTATTCTATTTTAAAAGTGAGGGGGAGTTGCTTTTTAAAAGTAGGTAATATGAGTAACACTATATTCTATAGCACCTTAGCAAAGTAATTTTATTATCTTTAATAGAATTAGTTTATAAATATACAGATACCTAATGTCAGTTAAATGATATTTATATTTGCTCTAGGCTTTGGCTATGGTGGAGGAAGAATGCCGGCGTTACAGACCTACAAAAAACTATTTAGAGAATGCAGGTCCCGAATTGAGCACAGCATTTGAAACAGCAGCCCTGCAAAGAGAAATTGAACGTGTACAACAAAGGCTCCCTATGGAACCCTTGTCTATGAAAAGGTAAATATTTCAATTGGAGACAGTTATATAAAAGGCAGCCAAATTCTGGCGACGTAAGATAACCCGTCACCACATTTCATCCCGTGGTTGTTGTAAGGGGTGACTATAGGGAATGCCAGTAAAATCAGACGGCTCTATGGTGCAGTAGCTTAGCAATAAGTTGCAGCCTTAAGGGTTGCTGGTTCGAATACTGCATGGAACTAGTATTTTTAAGGCTCTACAAATAATTGTTCCAGGTCTGGATATTTGTCTATATGTGATTTCAATCATTACTGTGTAGTGACAGTGTAAGGATAACCACAACTCCATATCCTCCCATGGGTGTCTCAAGAGGTGATAGAGGGAAGCAAAGGGAAAGAAGATGGGCTCTTGTCTTCCTAATAAAAGCTAAAAATTTTAAAAATTGCAACTCACCTAACAAGTGTGACAACTATGGCAAATATCCCTCTTATGGGGCAATCTGTAGGAAGGTCTTTGTTCAGCAGTGAACTATGATAGGTGTAATGATGGTGACGAGATAAAAATCTAGAATTATCCATTACCCAGTGTCAATTCCAGCTGCTGAATTCCAATATCGTATACTGCCACACAACTTGAAATTCCTTTCTTCTCATTTCGATGGTTGGCGGTCCACTACTATATTACTATGCGGAATTTTGTGCCTTGCATGACCACACTGTAGAATTTATAGTGGCCAGCAGTTTTTCCGGACCAATAGCACTTAGGGACTTTCAAGGAAAGAGCCTACTCCTTTAAAACACCAGCAACATACCTGCAACTACCCGGGGTTGCAGATGTTCATAGGGGACGGTGATCACTTTATGAGGTAAGCCGAATAGAGGCAAATAAGGCCTCCATAAAATAATCTAGAACCCAAGCACAATTATTTCTTCTGAAATCTAAACCCTTTTTTTATTACCTGTACCTTAACAATGCTATTATAGAGACAATATTTCTTTGTTGCCAGATATGAATTACCACCTCCACCAGCGGGACGTCTTGGTGAACCAACGGCATGGTCAGAAGCCGTAGATAACTCACATGCACAATTATCCCATCAGGCCACCAGAGTACTCAATTTGGAGCTACAACTGCATTATGGAACCGAGGCATGGAGGTCCTATCTCAATGTGCTGCAAGCACTGGTCACACGATCACAGAATGTACACACGCAATTAAGGTGTGATTTTATTTCTATATTTTGGGAAATTAAAAATGGAAAATGCCATGAGAACTTTAATAGCAAAGTTGGCCTATGTTCAGCAGTGAACTTGTAATGGGCTGAAAAAGTACAGTTACAGCCTATATAGGTCCCATAAGCCTATGGACATAAGCCTCCTCTCATTTCTGAGAGGGTTTTAGGGCAAGGAAATGTCCGCCGCGCTGCCGCAATGCGTGTTGGCTAACTTCACATGTCTTCGAATTTTTTTTTAATTTCTAAGACATGCAGGTTTCCTCATGATGTTTTCCTTTTTCAGTACTTAAAATTATAATTAACAATTTCATTGGTGCCGGCGGGGTTCGAACCCGGGTCGCTCGCATACTGATATTTACAGTGAGCGTTTAGCCCCTGAGCTACCACGGCTTGATGCTAAAAAACATTATGTGCTGTCTAAATAGTTGACATCTAGTTTATATGAGATGATATAATGGGTAACCATCTGTTGGGAGCTGAGATTTGTTTGGCATTTACCTTAGTTGTTTCTTACAACATGAGATGGTTTGATGGATTATCTTACACTTGTTGTCATACTGGAAAATGAGTATTGCCAGTTTTAAAGTACTTGGGCTTGCCAACTCAAGTATGGCGATTGCAAAAAATCCAACAAAGGTTTGAGAGCCAAGAACATGTTATGCAATACAGTGATTTTTTTATAGAATAAATAAAATACAACCAGACCTGATGGTAAGTGGATGTTGCAGTCCATAGACATCTACATCTATCCACAATTAAGAATCAAAATTCAAATGGCATTGTCACCCCTTAGGACTAAGATGAAATGTCTTGTATTGTCTTGTAAGTGTGTCCAGTTCTCTATACTCACCATACGACTCAGCAGTATTGAGCTGCTATTTTTTTTTAAATTATTATTATTATTATATGAACAGGCAGGTAGTTGAGACAACTGATAATGCCTGTATCCTGTTTTTGTCCACTAGTTACTCTTTTTGCAGTTCAGAAAGTGATTATCTAATCTATTTTTGAATTGGTTCACGTATTTCTCTGGAATTCTCTGGAAGCTTATTCCACTCGGTGACTACACGGTTACAAATGAAGTGCTTGTGGGGGTTGCTGTTTGAAAAGCTGGTACATAGCTTAAGATGGTGGCCCCTGAGGTGAGAGTTTTCATTACGAATAAACAATTTCTCAAACTCCTCAATGTCGTAATGCCCATTTAAGATCTTAAAGGTCTCAATTCCAAGTCAAAAATCAATAGTCAGGGACCAAAGACTCCATGGTCCCTGCGGCTTTTCAATGTTATAAGTTTTAAAACTTTCAAACGTTCTTCATAAGACTGCCGTTTCAATAGCCGTGGTACTTTAGTGATGCTACGCTGTGCTTTTTCCAAAAGTTTTGTCTTTGTCCTTGATAAAGTATGGATTCCAGACTTGAAATGCGTATTCTAATATTGGCCTGATAAATATTTTGTGGATCTTAAGCATCATTTCCGGTGTTAGGACAGCGAAAGCTTTTCTCACGAGGTAGATTATTCCCTTAGCTTTCTCAACAATTGTTGATATATGCTCTTCCCACTTCAAGTCTTCTGCAATTTTGACTTCTAAATCTGTTTGTATTTTAACATCTGTAAGTGACGCGCCGCTCAGTTTACAGGTAAGACGAGGGTTACGGTTTCCTATATGTAATACTGTACATTTTGAAGCATTTAGATTTATAAGCCATTCCTTGGACCAAATAGCTATTTTATTTAGATCATCCTGAAGGCGGTCGTAGTCTATTAGTGGATTAGCAAATATTTTAGTATCATCTGCAAATATGCTGACATTACACTGTAGACAAAGGGGAAGGTCAAAAGTATAAATAATGTATAATACAGGGCCTAGAACGGAACCCTGTGGCACTCCACTATGTATATCTATGTGATCAGACTTCGTTTCACCAATTCTTACTTGTAGAGTTCTCCTACGCAAAAAATACTAGATCCAAACCAGTAGTTTTCCACGTATTCCTACGTCCAGTTTCTGGAGGAGTTTTCTCGTAGGGACTTTATCAAAGGCCTTTTCGTAGTCAAGATAAATTACGTCAATAGGCTCTCTCTCATTAAAGTGTTTGGTCCATGATGATAGGCATAATAATAAATTGGAAATCGTGGAACGATGTGGACAAAAACCATGTTGCTGTTTAGGGATAACTTTGTGGTTGGAGAGGAAGTTTCTAATATGCTTGACTATAATTTTCTCCATAACCTTGCAGACCACACTGGTCAAACTGATGGGTTTGTAATTAGTTGGTTCCAGTTTGCTACCTTTTTTAAATATGGATGTCACCAATGCTGTTTTCCATAAGTCCGGTAAGGTGCTTGTCTCGTACGATGTTTGCATTATTGTCGTTAAATTATGAGATAGGTTATATTTCTTCAATATAGTTACTGGTATATCGTCTGGTCCCGGAGATGAATCTGTTTTCATTTCTGATATGACTCGGTTGACTTGGTCTGGCGTGAACAGAATTTCTTCAATGGAATCCTCTACTCGAATCGTCGGGTCTAATGTAGGCAGTTCGTCATGTGGTTCTGTTTGGAAAACACTCGCGAATTGGTCCGCAAATACCCTGGCAATTTCGTGAGGTTGGGTCGCAGTTTGTCTTTGCTTGTTTAGCAAAATAGTAGGAATGCTTACTTTTGATGTTACTTGTTGTCTTATATAGGAGTAAAACTTTTTTGGTCCTGCCTGCAGTATTTCTTGTTCATAGCTTGTTCGAGCTTTTCAATTTTCATTTAGTAATTGGTTGTTCGTGCTTCTGTAGTCTCTATAATGTTGTTCTAGTCCAGTCAGCACATATCTGTTCCATAAGGCTATTTTGTTCTTGATGAGGTTTTTAGTTTTGTTTCTAACCCAGGGCTTGTTTGTGCTACGAGGGTGGATTGAAAAGTACTCGGCCTAACACAGATCCATTCAATTCTAAAAATCAAATCTACCCACATTATTTAGTTCAGTTCAGACTAGTTCATTGTGTGAAGTTCGAAACGTGTGCGATAATTAGTTGTGATTTTATAAATTTATTAACAAAGTAATCGGACATAATTTCCGCGAATGGAGCAAATCGAGCAGCGTGCCGTCATTAAGTACCTCCATAAGAAGGGGCTATCATCAAAAGCCATCCATGATGACGTGGTCAGTACATTAGGCGATTGTGCTCTGTCATATTCATCCGTCAAAAAATGGATAGCAGAATTTAAGCGTGGTAGAGAGAGTGTGAAAGATGAACCCCGCTCTGGAAGGCCTTCGACGTCAACTACTGACGAAAATATTAAAAAAGTACTTGATTTAATAATGGGAGACCGCAGATTAAAAATTAGAGAGATAGCCGAGATTATAGGCATCTCTTATGAATGAACTCAAAACATCATTGTCAACGAGTTGGGTTTCCACAAGGTGTCTGCGAGGTGGGTTCCGCGACTGCTTTCAGTTGAACAAAAAAGGACGCGATTGACTATTTCACGCGACTGTTTGGAGTTATTTGAAGCCGATGCAGATGATTTTTTGAATCGTTTTGTTACTATGGACGAAACATGGGTTCATTACTGTACACCGGAAACAAAACAACAATCAAAACAGTGGAGAAGACCTGGTTCACCACCCCCTAAAAAGGCTAAGTCGATTTTGTCGGCAAATAAGGTGATGGCTTCAGTATTCTGGGACTCGAAAGGTGTGATTATGATTGATTATCTTGAAAGGGGTCAGAATATAAACTCTGATTACTGCTGCACCTTACTACGTCGTTTACGAGAGGAAATAAAAGAAAAACGTCGAGGAATGCTCAGAAGAAAAGTCCTGTTTCATCAAGATAACGCCCGTGTTCACACGTCAGTACAGTCAATGGCTGAAATTCACAACTGTGGCTTTGAACTGTTACCGCATCCGCCGTATTCACCTGATCTGGCACCATCAGACTTCTTTCTGTTCCCTAACCTAAAAAAGCACTTGGGAGGTCAAAGATTTTCGACAAACGACGAGGTCAAAGCAGCTGTAGACGCATATTTTGACTCTAAGGAAGAATCATTTTTTCAACGGTCTAAATGCTTGGAAGGGGAGGTGGCAAAAGTGTATTGAACTTGATGGTGATTATGTAGAAAAATAAAAATATAACTGATTTAGTATGTGTTTATTTTCTTGGTTAGGCCGAGTACTTTTCAATCCACCCTCATATTTAGACAAACAAGCCCTTTTGCACGGGTATTCTGTGAAAGTGTGGTCCTTTCCCGGTCGAGCCAACCGATTTGTGGTGCAACCATAATATAGCTGCAGCATGCTCTACTTCATATGATGTCGTCAAGTTTTATCTTTAATTTTTATGTTCATGTATTTTGTTTTTCAAATCAAAAGTAGTACGAGGCGAGGTAGTGGTAAAATACGAGTAATTGTGCAATTTTCAAATGAAACTAGTTTTTACGGATTTTATCGCGTTTATTAACTTATGTTATACTAACTGGCCCGGCAGATGTTATTCTGCCCTTTCTGATTGGTGGCGCGATTAATTTAGTTTCATACACACACTTTTCTATAGATTTATTATACGTATAGTGAAATCCTCTTTAGGACTAATAGAACTATAAGCAGCCATAATGACAATAAACTAAAAAAAAGGAAAACCATAACTTTTTGTTTACTCTTCCGTAAGTGGATAAAAAGGTGCCTATACACGGTCATTTACTGTCTACATACAAAATTTCATGGAAATCTGTCCAGTAGTTTTTGCGTGAACCGTGAACACATAATTTTTCTACAGATTTATTATATGTATATTTTATATTCTCGAGTTTTTAAACTACTTTACAGCACCTATAAACCGTGTAGTGGCGGTGTAAGAACATCCACTACCCCATATCATCCCGTGGGTGTCGTAAGAGGCGACAGAGGGGACAAATCATGAGATGGGCAGCAGCGTCTTCTAATAACAACTAAAAGTAAAAAACTGCGGTTGCCATTCCGCCTGCCAAGCTTGGTAACTATGACAAATATTCCCTCTATGAGGCAATTTATGTAAACGGTGCTGTAACGGTATGGTTACAGCACCCATGGTCGCGGGACTTAAGGTAGCCCTGGTTAACTATGACATTGGGACGTAAAATTAGATTCACTAAATGTTCAGTGTTTGCGTAAACATAAGAAATCATTAAGAATAACACCGCTATCAAAGTAATTATTACAACAAAACATTGTTGACGCGTAGGAAACAAATAGCGGCGGTGAACTGGGAGCGGAAGCGCTCGCAAACGGCGAGCGGAGCCAGGCTGCGTGCGCTGCGCCGGCGCTGGGCGCAACTTGTCTCCGACAACTATCGCCTGGAGCGCGCCATCATGCAGCTAGAGATTCAATTGGAAAAGGTAGTCTAACATTATTTGCAGTCAGTGCGGTGTATACCTTAATATATGATAGTGAAAGTTGGATATGGCAGAAGAAGAACGAGAGTATAATAAATTCTGTAGTAATGCGGTCATTAAGGAGTATGTTAAGACTTAATCTGAATGACAGAGTGAGAAATTATTTGATAAAAGAAAAGTGTGTTGCAAGATGATGTTGTAGCCAGGAAGAAAGAAATGCTTCCGTGGTTTGGTCATGTAGAAACTAGAAAGAATGAATGAGGAAAGAGTGACAAAGGAAAGAACAATGGCAGACTTTCATACATAAAATTAGTTGAGAATGAATGTTAGCGTCTATATATCAAAAATATCTTAAAATGTTAAGCGTCAGTCCCTTAATAACTCTGTCAAAGAATTTTGTACTGAGAATGCGTCAATAAAAAGATATTTAGATTTGCACCTTTTTAGGTTATGTCTTATGTCATTTGGAAAAAGTCAAGCTTCCTGTGGTTGTTTCATGTTAGCTTAATACATAATACATAACTGAGAGTTTTTAGATTATTGTATCTCTATTATATATTTGCATACTATAAATGTATATTTCTGGCATGACTCCAGGGCCTTTGTGTCATACAGTGATATTCTTAGAAGGGAACCCAGAGCCGTAAAGCCAGTAAAAACAGTGATATTTTGTTTTAGCTAGTTTTGTTATTTAGCATAGATTGAGATAATGTATTATTGTAGGAAGTTCTTTGTAAGAGACTTATTTTCAACCATATCACTTTTATTTTTATTATTACTGATAGTATAGTTATATATAAAAATATTTTGTGTTTGTTTGTTGTGTTGGTAGTCTTACTATTTTCGTATACACTTTATACTATGAAAATAGTATGAATATAGTAAATGGCAACACTTGAATAGAGTAAAATGATTTAAGTCATTTGATATTCCCAAAAATGGTTTTTTTCTGTGGCTTTAATTAAAATACATTTTTATTTGAAAAATCATAGAAAAATAATAAAACTCATTTTATATATAAGTTATTTCTAGACGCAATAATTTTTGTCAACTATTTTTCTGCCATTGTTCTTTATGTTGATGAAGTGAACGGAAGAGTTGGGAAGGGACACCCTAGACGAAAGTTTATCGTTTAGAAGTTTAAAGGATTTAAAAGTTATGATTCAGCGGTGTGTACTATAAAATATTATAAAATATTTCTATATAATAAACACCACAGTAACTATTTACACACACACACAACACACGGTGTGGGCAGAAGTAGAGACCGAGCAAACTAAAGTTACGTTTGCTCGGTCTCTACTTCTGCCCACACTTGACTATGCTGATATTTGCTATCTTAACGTTACCGATGAGCAGCTTAATAAGCTTGAGCGCATTCAATATGTATGTTACTAGATTTGTATTTTGGCTTAGCAAATATGCTCACATCTCGTAGATTTCGCAAACAGCTTAAATGGCGCCCGATTCTCCTTCGCAGGAATACACACATTCTCTCCGTTTTGTTTGACGTGCTGTTTAATCCCTCCTCTCCTCATTATTTAAAAGACCGTTTTGACTCGAAAAACGACCGAGCTTGGCAACCGAAGAGACAACTGCAGATTGGCCTGATTATACCTATAAAAAATTTACGAAATCATTGAATAAAAACCTACAGACAGACACAATCCTTCTTTAATTGTTCTTGAAAAAAATCGTCCCAGTTTTGGTGGAGGAAACAGATTTTTTTTCAAGAACAAAAGAATTATTGCAACACCAAAAATTTGTATGTTTTTCTTCATTAATTTCGTTTTTAACCGACTTCAAAAGAGAGGAGATACTCAACTCGACGTCTGTATGGTTAATAGAATCAGGCGTTACTTTGCGGAAATCCATTATATAAAAGCTTTTAGAAAAATTTACTTCGCAAATATCCGCGTTATAATATAAAATGATGTGTCTTACCTAGTATGAAGAGCACCTCCCGCCCTCCCTCAATTGCGTGCACTATCCCCGTCACCACTAATCCCAGCACCGCTACCCCCAACACCACTACACTAGGCAAGACCACCACTGACGATAATACGACACGTGTTTCGCACATCATTTTATTTTATAACGCGGATATTTGCGAAGTAAATTTTTCTAAAAGCTTTTATATGTCTGTATGGTTTTATATGTATATAACTTTTTTCCGGGTGTACCGATTTTGTTGTTTCTTTTTTTGTTTGAAAGCTGGTGCTTCTCATGTGGTCCCATATAATTGATCAAGGTCTGACCAGTAGTTTTTGAGTTATCCTCAATAATTTCTATTGAAGTCGGTTGTACAAAATTTTTATTTTACCACTTGTATGTACGTTAAATTTTTTTGCTAGAAATGTCTAGCAAGAGCGGTATGACAAACCATTTTTAAAATTTTAGAAGTTACTTGTACTTAAAATAATAGTTGTAAGATTGTATCTTAAAAAGAAATATTTGCTCTAGTCTTATTATCTAGGGACTTGTTCAGCGGAGGACTTATGATTAACGGTAATGATGATAATGACGATTTTCGACGATGATGACGACGGAGCGGTTACCTGTGTAATATTATTAGCACCTTTTCTTGTTTCAGGCCAAAGGACAGGCGACAACTGACGAAGGTGAAGCCGCTGATATGGAGGCTGTCAAATTACTCCCGGATAAACTTAATTCAGAAACCGAGAAGGAAGTACAGAAGAAGATAGAAGATATGTTTGCTGATTAGTTAATAAATTTTTAAAGCTCAGTTTTATTTGATTTTTATGTTTCTTATCAAAAAGAAGTGTGTGTGCGCGTGTGTGTGTGTGTGCGTGCGTGCGTGCGCGCGTGCGTGCGCGTGTGTGTGTGTGTGTGCGTGCGTGTGTGTATGTGTGTGTGTGCGTGCGCGTGTGTGTGCGTGCGTGTGTGTGTGTGTGTGTGTGTGTGTGTGTGTGTGTGTGTGGATGTGCGTGCGTGCGTGTGGGTGGGTGTGGGTGTGGGGAGTGTGTGTGCGTGTGTGTGTGTGTGGGTGGATGTGTGTGTGTGTGTGTGTGTTTTTGTCTATGTCGGTGGTAAGCGATTTTGTTGTAGCAATACGACTTGCCCATGGACATCGCACAATCCTACCGTTTGTGGGCGGCGCCTTAGCGCATAGGGTTAAGATTAGGGCATCGAGAACCGGTCCCTTTCCAGGAACCGGTTCTTTCGGTTCTAAACTTTTGCCAGAACCGGGTACCCGGTTCTTTCGGTTCTTTTTTTTCTTTTAGGTTGGAGGCTATTTTGTTCAATGTGAATAACGATAATAATATTCATAAAGAAAACGGTTTATTGCAAATCGTGGGTTAAAGTAATTATTCAAGTAATAATTGCAATAGTTTCTTTCTAATTAAATACAATCAAACATCTCACTAATTAGTAACATTCATTTTACAACATTACTTAAATTTTAATATCATTCAACATAAAAATAATTTATAAAGATTCTATTCTATTATAACATTACAATATTTTATCATAGAATATACTTTACGAATACTTTTATAACAAAACATAAATCAGCTCACTTATGAAAAAAAAATTAGTTTTAATTAAAAATTACTTAAATAAAAAACGCAGAAAAATTAATGCATGCGAATTTTTATCACTCAAAGACGAACGCAGCCTATTGCAGACGAAGAAAATATTCGCTCTGGCTCTACACTGGCGGGCGATATAGTTTTTAAATGTTTATTAGCTATCGATAAGTAGTACTCGTTGTCTTTGCCCACCATTTTCAAATAGAGCCATTTCAACTCTCACAGTAGTAATTAAGTCATTTTCTTGATCTGTCGATTCAGTAGCACTATTACCTAACAGCTTTAGACAGCTCTCTATTAAATTCCTCTTCATTTGTTAGGGGGGATTCATGTAATTCAACTTCCTGCAGATTTTGACATCCAATTGCTGGCGTTTCTTCAAGGGATACTTTTTGTCTAGCTTTTGTGCGATTTGTTTTTATAGAATAAGGATAACAAACGAGCACACAGTCCACCTGATGGTAAGGGGTTGCTGTGGCCCATAGACATCTACATCTATCCTCGATGACAAATCAAAATGCGTTGTCACCCGTGAGGACTAAGATTGAATGCCTCGTTTCCAGTAAAAATCCGATCCGATCCGATCAGTAGAAGTCCGATTCTCTACACTCACCATACACAGCAGCGTATTCTGTGAGAGCGTGGTCCTTCCCCGGTCGAGCCGACCTATTCGTGCTACAACTATACTAGTAATATAGCTGCAGCATGGCTCTACCAAGTAAAAATTTTCAATTTCGTGTAACCTTTCATCACTTGTAGGCCGGGAAAAGATTATTGCAGCTTCGTCCATAATGGCAAAATAACTGTCAAGGTTGGTTAAGTATCGCAGTATTGATGCTTGCATGTTTTTTATATTGTTTTCGCAATGCAGTGAACATTTTATTACTAAGATGAGTATTCATTTCAATTAACTTTCTTATTGCAAATTTTAAAGAAACATCGGCTGTAATCAATGTTGCATCGCAACGGGATACAGCTTCTACGATAGTTTTAAAAACATGCAATATATTATTTAACTCTTCTGTGTTTGTAACTATTGTTTGTATATCAGATTTTAAATCAATTAATGCTTTTCTGATCGTTTTTAACTTCAGAAAACATCGCGGCTATGCTACTCCATGGTGTCTTTACATCTAAAACAAAACAATATTCTTGTCCGAAATCAGCTACGATGTGCTTTTGAAGAATTTCGTCACTTTTAGTGGGGGAACCCTTGAAAATTTATACCAAATTAAATTAAATATCATTACAAATCCTACCGTTTGCCATAAATAGCAGAAATGATTAATAATCACTTTTTTATAACACTACATTACAGTGATATACTTTTAAAGACATTTTGTAAAGGAACCGAAAGAACCGGGTTTTATATTTTCGGAACCGGTTCTTCTCGTAACCCCTGAAACCCGGGAATTCCCGGTTCTTTTGGAACCGGGAAAAACCGGTTCCGATGCCCTAGTTAAGATACGTCGGCTATATTGCGGATTATAAGCATCAAGCATACTCAACTCCGGCCCACAAAAATATGAAATAAAGATATTGGAAAATTATTACTGGTATTTCCACACTTCAAAAAAGAATAACCCAGCAATATGTGAGTATAAAAAACAAGTCTCCTAGAGCCACAAGTACTACTAAGAAACATTGAACTAAAAAAATGGATTTTTATCTTAGCAAATACTATGTCCGGCACGCCAAAGTCGTCTATGGTTGACCGCTAGTGTCGTGCGCGAGCCATAGATTTCTTGAAAACTAGCCAAAATTCAGCTCAAACGTTATTTTTTTTAAATATTATTATTGATATTTGAATAAAACAAAGATTACAAACATAAAACTATAATTAGCTACATGAATAAAAAAAAATGTTATCAAATCACCTTTGCTTAATAAATCTAATATCTCAACTCTGGCGCATCCTTAGCGCGTCATCGAAAATCAGTTCACTGGGCGCCACAGAGTACATTATTTAGAGGGGTCTGGGCGCCGTGGTCAAGGATAGAAGACACCCGTCTGACGTCATAAGCGATTAGCGGGAAAAGTAGTGCAGTGCAACACGAACGATTACTCATAACTCATTCGCATTTTGGAAAGCGTCAATGATGATGATGAATTTTCGGAATCTGAATCATTGCCTGAAGATTAATTTACTAACATGCATATTGCCTATTTTATGTAACTATTTATAATATTTTGTTTAATTTTAAATATAAAAAGTTCGATACAAAATGACACACTTTTTGTTTTCGAGTTTAAAATAACTCATCATGTTTATTTACTTTTATACTGCAACTAGTAGATTTTTTTCTGTCAAAAAGCGAATGGTAATATTGTTTAGATAAATAAATATCTTAAACCATATTTCAGCATAATCCTTCCCAAAATTAGGTATCGCGAGTAGACTATAAATTATAAATCAACCTAATGAAAAAGCATTAAGGTCCAAAATAGTATATCGACTTTCTACGTTTCGGCATTACAATCGTTCCGAATAGTATTGCGAGTAGACTAAAAATCAATCTAATGATAAAGCATCTTCATCATCATTAAGGTCTAAATAATTATATACAATTGTTGATTGGTGAATAATTATGTACCATTTGTTGATTTCTATAATAAGTACTGATTTTTTATTCCATGACCAAGATTTTAATTATATAAGACTGATTTACCTAGTGCGAATAATTATATACAATTGTTGATTAGTGAATAATTATGTACCGTTTTTTATTTTAATAATATAAAATTACAAATAATAATTTTTTTTTTACTTAAGGTATGAAGAGCAATTTTTTATTTTGTGTTGTGCGATTTTCTTTCTCAATCTCAAAATCATCGGGCAGCATCAGCATCATATCAAACCCTCATTGTCATAAGAGTGTAAGACTTTTTCTTCACTTCTTCTTAGACTTCTGTGCTTCACTTAGCCTACGTCTCCCCCGACACATAAAATATTTTGAATCGATGTCTGTATATTTTGGTTAGATCGATTTCGAAATCGATACACAACGTGCGACACGGCTACATTACTAAGATAATTTCAAAAAGGAAGGTCAGCTACGCCGTTGTCGTCCAGTCGTGACAGTGACGTCATCACGATGGAGAGTAGTGCTGTGGTTTACTACTATTAAAATACATACATTACATATAAAAAAAGAGTGGAAGACAGCACAAGATTAAATAAAACATACCAGATTATAAAGAGTCGTTTATTGCATAAAAAACCAACAAAAACAAGTTATTTTGTGTTATCGATATATCAACTCTTGGCAACACTATTTTTTTCGTAGGTATTTTTGTTTACTTTTCGCTTTGGCGTACAGGACACTGTAATGCGTTTTTGGCGTGGCGGTCAAAAGGTCAATAAACATATTTCAAGATGTGGCTTAGGTTTACGATATCACCTGAGTGAAGCACTGATTAATAAACTAAACTCGCCTCTCAAATGTGTGTAATTGAGATGCTACAATCTGAGTGCGGGCAATCCATCACTTAAGATCGTGATTGTTGACATGGAGATTGAAAATATTTTAAGAGATATTAATTATTACGACGAAATTGAGTACAATGACGATACTTTACGGCCTTTACGATACCCAATTTACCAAAAAAATATTAAGGGATGCCTCCGATCCTTTTAAGTTACAATGTGAACATTTTAAAAAACGATACAGATTTGGTCAAGAATCTAATAAATATTGTAACATTAATAAAAGACTCATTGGTGAAATACAGTAACTATTAACTTTAAGGTTTACAGATAGGTTAAGGTATATTTATTTAAGTAGGTTTAATATATTCCATTATTTAAATTAATATAATGTATTAAATTTTAAGGTAGGCTGCTATGGAAATTCAGATTACTGTGGTGATGTTTGAAAAGTGATATTTGTAGTACTATAATTACCTACCTGGCTAGAATCGTATGGACTAGCGTTTGTGTTATACAGTTATTCTGCTCCAAGTCTCATTTTAATACGTTGTGACGTGCCATCGGTCTCCTTATTTTCCAAGCCTTATATTTTTTTTAAAATACCGAGAAAGCACATTTTGTCAATCGGCTTTCCATTTTTGTATAAATTAAAATTCCCGCGAGATCAAAGTTAAGTAATCAAGATGTTTTCCAGTGTCAAAAATGATATGTCAGTTTATATTTAACACTGGCGCTGTCGTC